TAAAACACATTTTTAACTAAACCCAGCCATAAGTGCATAAGTGAGGTGAAAGTCAGAAACAGATATACATTTATTTTTAATGTAGACATTTTGACTTTTATAGTAGTCAACATGTCATAGTTTTCCCACAGGTGCTGCTAATTACATGTCTCTGCAATGTAAGCTGTAGGTGTGTAGCTAATGTGACAAAATACTGTCTCCAGTGGAAAGTTATCCTATTCATACAGACTCCCAGGGCTAATGTGTCTGAATAAGCTAGCTTGACATTTGTAAATGATTTGATCAACTTACTTTATGAAACAACTTTTTCCAGATCCATGCTGCGTAGCTAAGTGACAATTAGCCCGCTAACCTTAGCTTGCTGGCTTTCTAACTGTAGGCAAATTATAAAGCAAAGTACAAGAAGTGATCCATTATACTTTATGTAGCCTATTATGAGAAATGTGTTGATTTTAGCCAACAATAAATTGTGTTTCGGAACAAAACTGTTTAAAAAAAAATAAAGTTAAGTTTAGGTAAGCCAGCTAGCTCGAAATTAGTAAATCTGTTTAGGTTCGGCTTTGGTTACTTTGTAATGCTAGCTGATAAGAGTAGATTGCAAATGTCAAGCTACTTAATATGGAGCCAATGGTCTTAATACCATACAGCAACATTATTTTACATAATGATATACAATTGTAATGTCGTTGTCACTCTTTGGCCGATGACCAGCAGGATTTTAGCTGCCCCCCTTCTGGTGTAGGCCTAAATAATAAAGATGATTTTTTTTTAGATGTTCCATAATGTATCTTTGATCAGTGTGATAAAACATTCCTTTCATTAAGTAACTTTCTTTGAGATACCATAACAACGTAAGCTGCTTTACAAGCTAGCTAGTTTAACAAAGTTATCAGCATGCTTATGTATTGACCAGACACTTTAATGTCTCTTGTCTTGAAATTGCATCTTCAGCATAATACTTTGTGCCTATGAATATTTGTGCTGCGACCACTCTGTTTAAAAGCTAGTCCAGTGTGCTTCTGCTCCAAAAGCTTTTCAAATAACCCCAACAAGCTTACAACAGAGCCAAAACACTAGAGCCATTAGATACAAACAAAATGTACTCAAATCTAATTTCCCTTAGACTGTAATTGCATTAGTTTGATGTAGCACAGATGACTGCGAAAAGGCCACAACATTGCAAACAGAGTGACTGTATTTGTCAAATGATACCATGCGAGAATGTTAAGATATAGCTAAGCTGCTGTCTATTGTCATTATATTATCACTATGCTAATGCTAGTGTAATTACAGAAGGGTCACTTTTAAATTAGCCTCTTACATGTCAGTCACTGCTTGACATTTCAGAAATGAGCAGTGTCTAGTTAATATTGAGAGCTGTCAAATGTTATAGCGTTACATTTTTACAATCCTTGCCCAATTCACTGTGAGGTGCCATCCATTTTATTGCATTTGATGCACTTCCCGCCAATTGAAAAACCCTCACCTGGATGATAGGAGTTAATACTCTTCTGTTCACATCATGTCGTCTCTCCTGCTGAGGCAACCATCTGGCACACTAAGCTTTGATTTTCACCTGGAAATGGAAATGCAGATGTCCGGAGCTCAGTTAAAATCAATGTGTCCATCATATATTTTTACGCTCCTATTGAGTTTGTGCCGTTTAAAATCATTAATACATGAGCGATCTTTCCAAACACGGCTGATGATTCCACTTATACTTAAAATACAGTAGTACTAACAGTACTTAGTTGATATAAATGAAATAAACTAAAATTATTTAACATCCCCTTCACAAATTATCTTTGTACAGTGGGGGAAAAAAAGTATTTAGTCAGCCGCTGACTAAATACTTTTTTTCCCCCACTGTACAAAGATAATTTGTGAAGGGGATGTTAAATAATTTTAGTTTATTTCATTTATATCAACTAAGTACTGTNAAACTACGTTGAGTCGTAAGAAAGAAGGAGGTTTGTGCAGATCACTCAAAAACTGCTTGCCTACTGTGAAACATAGGGGTGGAAACATCATGCTTTGGGGCTGTTTTTCTGCAAAGGGACCAGGACGACTGATCCATGTAAAGGAAAGAATGAATGGGGCCATGTATCGTGAGATTTTGAGGGAAACGAAGGAGTGGCTTCGTAAGAATCATTTCAAGGTCCTGGAGTGGCCTAGCCAGTCTCCAGATCTCAACCGCATAGAAAATCTTTGGAGGGAGTTGAAAGTCCCTGTTGCCCAGCGACAGCCCCAAAACATCACTGCTCTAGAGGAGATCTGCATGGAGGAATGGGACAAAATATGTCATTGCCAACAAAGGGTATATAACAAAGTATTGAGATGAACTTTTGTTATTGACCAAATACTTATTTTCCACCATAATTTACAAATAAATTATTTAAAAATCAGACAATGCGATTTTTTTTTTTTTTTCTCATTTTGTCTCTCATAGTTGAGGTATACCTAGGATAGAAAATTACAGGCCTCTCATTC